AAGGCTGGAGCCGCCAGTCCGGTGACCTCGACGGTCACCGCGGTAGGGATCTCGGCCAACTCTCGAACCACTTCCGCGTCCGGCGCTATCAAGCACTCTGGAGATGATGACGAAGATCTGGGGGTGAAGGTCGAAGCCCCATCCGCCCCCGGTCCCGCCGAGCCGACTGCTGCCCCAAAGTTCATTGGTCCCCAGCTCCCTCCTGGGCGAAATCCGCCTTTGCAGGCATCTGGGCCTTCTGTTACGTCCGTTCTGGCCGACTCCGTGGACAAAATGAACCTTCTCTCACCGATCAACTCCAAGTCCTTCTACGGCGCGTCTGACAGTAACCCAAAAAAGAGAGCATCTTCTCCCGCCGCGGCAGATGGGGACGAAGAAGTTGTGGCCCGCAAGAAGAAACGTAGCAGCTTGATGTCAGGAGTGGCGTCAGATACCCTCGGTTTGAAGAGCAAGGAGGACCTGCATTCGAAGTTGGGGTATCCTGGCGGACCTCCTGAAAAGTTCAAGCCATGGCATTCTTCTGGCGGTATTAAAAGGGGCATGCAAAAGAAGAACAAGCGAGGCTTTATAATGTAATGTGTGTAGTTCTTTCTTTTTTTAGAGTTTTTTGTTTTATTCGTATTCGACTCCCCTTTTTTTCGTTGTCATGGACACCTTTTTGTATCTGCTTGGTTTGATCCTTACCTACCTTTGTAATGATAGATGGAGTCGCTATTGCTGTTAAAATTCCGACCTATACAGCCTCATTCACGAATCGGTGTTGTCCAGAGCTTCGGAATGTAAAGATCCATGCAAGTCCGAATCAGTCGAATCGCATGACGGCTCCGAACCCTAAGGTAGAGCCCCCGTTACTAAAGCATATTCGGAATCAGAACGGTTTGCGTGAATATTGTGAGCCTGTCGCGACTGGACGGGCTCAAGTGTCGCCTTGTAACTCGATAGTATGAAGCTCCCCTCAATCACGAGCGTCAACCCCCTTGACAGCTTTGGCTGCTTTGTTAGGTTTAATTTAACCGGAATCTGCGAGTTTCTGACTCGTATACTTTCTTTCGGGATGGTGGACAGCGGTGGACAGATCGGGGGAATAGATCGCGACTCCGACAAAACGTACGAGGGTCAGGAGGAGACGATTAAAGGATGACCAGTTCAGTCGAGTTTAGAGCCGCAACAAATTCTGCAATTGCTAGTGGTATGACAGCATTTGTCACGGAATATTGAATCAGCGGTCTCTGCTGCCACCGTTGGTTCGTTGCTGAACGAAAAGGGAAACGGAAGCAAAGTTCTGCAGCATTGTAGGCAACGCAATAGGCGTTGAACAACTTATACCCATAATATAATCCAACGAGAGGTTCAGAGGCTTCGTTACTTGAGATTGTGACCAGTGAAAGCAAGCTCGCATAATTCAGTAGAAGCGGACGGCCAGATACAATGATGAATACAATGTAAAACAAGGCGCATAATGAATGGGTGCCGCCGATTCTCCTGAGGTGCGAAACGGGTGGCAAGAAGCGCCGAAACAAATCGTGAAAGGGGGGTTTTATACCTTGAACGCACGAGACTGTGGTCGGCAAAGGCAGTCAGCGAGTGGTTCACAAGAAACAAAGGAAAACATTGAAGCGTACCGTTCGGCGACCACGGGCTCGTTCGAATTTCCGTCCCTTTGACATGACCTTTGGCTTCTTGTGCTTGTGAGGACCTGGGAACCCAAGCTCAGTGACGTCGAATCAAGAAGTAAGACCTGGCTAGACGCACCGAAGCCGAAGTGTTTGATCGCCTCGCGGTGCGACCGTGGACCACGCATGATAAAGGTGTTGCTGCCAGTCGGTGCGCGAAGGGCAAGCTGATCAAAGGTGATGATCTCTCCACCAGCCTTCAAGATCCTCTCCCGAGCAGGTTGGGTCACTCGCAGAGCAGCAATGGTCAATTTTGGCACCTCAACTACCCGGATATCGTCGGTAACGGGGCCAATCGCCACGATGAGCTTGCCTTCTTTCGCGGCGCTTGTCTCGGCAATCTTGGAAATGGAGATTGGTGCGCGGTTAGTCTTGGAGATGTAGAGGTTCTTGAGGATGATCTAAACATCGCAGAGCAAATTTAAATGATCAAACGATTCGATAAGTGCTTTGAAAATGAGCCCACTTGATTGAATTTGGAGTTTGTACGGCGGGCAAGGAAACGGTAAAGCTGCGTAGCGGACACGGCCTTTAGTGAGGGTTCATCCCTACGTTGCGAGCTTGGTTCACAAACCTTCACCAAGAGTAGGAGGTACGGGTCATTGCTGACTGGGGCCGATCGGTTCTTGTTGCGGACGTGGTGGTTTCGGAGATCAATAGCCTGCCAGGGGCAATTAATCCAACGTCAGTCCCGACTGCAATGACATTGTTCCTCCCCCATTGGGCGGGATCGGATACGGCGGCGAGGATTGTATCAATTATTCACCATTTTTGACGGTCTTGAGGTCTTGCGAACTGGTCTGTTCTGGAGCGCGTCGTCTACTCTTGAATTTTGTCGATAGGGTCCGGTTCGCACGATAGCTGACACATACGGAGAACAGCTCCGACTTCTCCGTTTAACTCCTAACTCCGTCGGTGAAGAAGCGAAAGTTTTGCTTCGAACTGCCAACCACTCCACAAGCACAACGCGAAATCAACGATGGTGAGTTTCGTTTTCCTCCCACCACCACCCAGCTCCCCTCCCTCCCTTTGCGACACCTTTTAACCTCTCTTCACCACTAGTACGCCGGCGAAGCAGACAAAGGACCAGCTATGGATCCCTACGCAGACGCTCAAGCCAACCATCCCAACGGTGGGGCTGCCCCCGCCAACGGCAATCCTGATGCCCCTCCCATGAACGGAGGCCGTGGACGCTCCAGGTCCCGCTCGCGCTCTCGCAGCCCTCGAAGGTACTCCCCTGGAGCATCTTACAACCGTCGGAGGTCCCCGCCACCTCGCCGCCCGGCCCACGCGCCCATGGTCAGTGTGCGTTTTGATCGTTTCACCTGTGGCGAGCCATGCTGACGAGTGGTCCCTAGGCTCCCAACCCATCGAATGTTCTAGGTGTCTTCGGTTTGAGCATTCGCACCGTTGAAAGGCAACTCGAGGAGGAGTTTTCTCGCTACGGGCACGTCGACAAGGTCACGATTGTGTACGATGCGAGGGTGAGTGGTTTAAGTTTCCCCCATCGATGAAAATCAAGAGCTCAATCCTCTTGCCTCATAGACTGGACGCTCCCGCGGTTTTGGCTTTATCAAAATGGCTGCCGTCGAGGAGGCTACCGCGTGCATCGAAAAGTTGAACGGCATCGTACGTATTCCACTCGGCGCCCTCGCCGTCGCCCGCGCCACCCATCTGACACCCGCTCAAACTTAGGAACTGGACGGCAGACGCATCCGAGTCGATTATTCGGTTACCGACCGCCCCCATGCTCCAACGCCTGGCGAGTACATGGGTACCCGTCGTGACGATGGCCGCCGAGGCTATGGTCGCTACGAACGTTATGAACGTGGGGACCGCGATCGTGACTATGGCAGAGATCGTCGGGACCGCGATCGTGATCCCTACGGCCGTGACGATCGCGGCTATCGTGGTGACTGGCGCGACAGGTTAGCATCCTTGGCCGCCGTATGCGTTGCATTCAGCCCACTGACATTATTGAATTTAGGGACCGTGAGTGGCGTGACAGGAGGTCTCCTCCTCGTGGTGGTGGCGGCAGGTACAGCGCCAGCCCCCCGCCTCGCCGTCGTCGCAGTTACTCTCGCAGCCCTCCTCGCGAGAAGCGCGATGACATGGAGGCCGATGGCCGTGCCGCCCGCTGGTGATCAAAGCCGCGCCTCCAAGCCTCCATCGTATTCGTATTCCATGTTTCCTTGTTCTTCATCCTAGGCCTCTTCAAATCGCTCGTCCCCTGGGTCTCAATACCGTCAGCTGGATCCGAGAGAGAATGCTCAATTTCTACGTCGTCGTTTTATTATTCTCCCGAAAACCCCCAAAAGAAAAGACGCTCTTCAACCCTCACGTACTCAAGTTCTGCGTTGTTTGTTTCCATCCTCTACTTTTGTACAAGTCTGCAATTGCGGCCCGGGTGTCCAAGCTATCAAGCGTGTCCTATACAAGATCGTTTTCGCGCATTAAGTCTTTGCAAGTGCTAACTGTCAAGCGACCATCGGAATCGTTTTGACGCCTTGCCGCCACATGTCATTCCATCGAACGAGCTCAAGGTAGGCCGGGGAAGAACGAACGTCGCGTGCAAATCAAATCAGCCTTCTCGACCAAATCCAAACCATACTGAATCGGGGTACGTATTCTTCGACCATGTTAGTTTCGGTGATGTAGGCTTTGCAGATTCCCCAAGGCAAGTACCACACCGCTTGAGCAAGCCTACAGGAATCCAGCAGTCCGTTGCTCGACCGTTCCCTTGGGTTCCCACTCCTGAATGACCGTGAACGATATCAAAGCTTAGGCGCCTGCCCTTCAAAGTTGCCGTCTCCAACTTACCCTAGGTTCAAGCTCAGAGATCATCGACCTGGCCGAGCAACGTCCTGAGCGGCGGTGCAGGCTGGCAGCAGGGTACAGTATGCAGTTCCAGTATAGCATGTATCTTAGTGTATAGCTAGCAAATTTATAACTTGAAAGCTCCAGACCGCGAGCCTGCCAGCTGGTTGGGAATAACACTCCGTTACTAAGTGTGTGCCATCCTATCCACAAGGCTTGTATGAGCAATAAGGCCTCAGTATTGGGGCAGGAGTAGGATGGTGAAGCACATCGTTGATGACCAAGTGGAACAAGCTGAGCAATCAGTAGTGAATAGAAGTCTGAGGATGCGATACCTGATAATAATGGCTGTCTAAAAATACGAATAAAATCGAAATAAATCGAAATAAAATCGAAATAAATCGAAATAAAATCGAAATAAATCGAAATAAAATCGAAATAAATCGAAATAAAATCGAAATAAATCGAAATAAATAGGAATAAATATGAAAAAAATAAGCAAAAATCAACCTCTCCTCCTGGGAGTCGAACCCAGCTCTTCACCGGGGTGCAAACCTGGTTGTACTACCAGGGGTTTGACAGGGTGATGTTCTACCGATATACCAGAGAAGATTGGCTGACAAGATGTCTTCCATTTTGCCCTATATAGTGAATTACCCACAGTATTGTTGATCTACTCGGAAACCACCGCCCCGTTTCGTGATCAGATCCCCTTCAAGTTCAAAATCATCCCACTTTCTCTGTACAGCAGAGTGTGGCCCCAGCCTGCATTCCTGATACAGGGGTGCTCCCCCTCCGCCAACTACCACCCCAGCGCCATGCGCCCATTTGCCTCCCTCGTGTGCGGCTCTTGGTACCCAGATGGACGGCCAAAGCCAATCAGCTGGGAGCCCCTCAGGAATATCCAGCAGTCCCTCGGCCCTCGTATATCCTGGATGAGAATGCTGACCATTTGTCCCGCCACCCACCAGCAGACCCCCAAGATCCGGAGCCCAGCTGTTAAAGAGACCAGCAAGGCTCTCCTTACCGCCATCCAGCCCTCCCTCGATCTCGATGCCTTCTAATTCACCGAAGCTCCGTGTGCACCATTCAAAGCAATCCAAATGCCGCCGACCCTTCCGCTTTCGTTCTATTAGATCCCTCCTCGGAAACCAGAGCATCCGGATGCCAAGAGCTTGAGTGTACCCGAAGGGATCACAACTCTTGGAGCGGTGATGGTGGCCAAGGGAACGCATTCTGATAGCCCGACGTCAGGGGCCCAAGAACAGACTACGTCTCCCGCCCATTTACCTTCAGAGAGTCGCTAGAATTTCTGCACAGCCCTACAGCTAATTCTGTAAACCCACGCTATCGACCGGTATTTGTAACTCGCTGCGGGCAGCGCTTCGGGGATCGACTCTTCGTGACCATGGTTCGTGGCCTATTCAGATTTTACTGTTTCGGCGTTTTCGGACGGCCGCTGTCCCGGCCTTGTGGCTGCAATGCTTTGGCACAAGGCAGCTAGAGCAATGAGGAGGTTGCAGATTGCTGCGAGCAATATTCTATCTAGCGAGCTGCTAGTCAGGTCGCCCAACGATAACAAGCTTGCTTTCCGACTCGGCATCCATCACATAAAGATATGGGGACAAAATCGCCCTTCCAGACCATTAGTACAGACGAGAGCGATCTCGTACTTCTAGCCTTTCATGGAATCGCCATCCAGCAAGATTCTTGAAAGGATACGTATCATCACAAGTTTGGACTCCCCTTTGCTCGTCCTGTGCCAATAATTATCATTTGCGCGATCCGGAAGCTGAATTTTGACAGAGCCATCGTCCATGGGGCAAGAAGGCCAGAAGAGAGGGATAAAGGTACGCCCGGAAAGTAACCGGCATGTTCCACGAATGAATTCAATCCTTAGGTTGTCTTGCACCGGTTGCGCTTTAATGTATCGTCAAGGTCGCGGATAACATCCAAACTTTCGGCCAGTTCAGAGTTGGTGAGGTAAGTGGCATGGGAAGCAAGGAGAGATGGGAGATTATAGGACAGCCGTTCAAAACCGCAATCAAGCTCTTGTGAACGGCGCTGGAGGTCCCCATAAACCTCAAGAATCGCACCGGGTGCGCTGGACAGCGGAAAAGCCAAGGAGCTGTGACCTGTTGGGTTCAAGTTGAACATGAGCCATGATTGAGGGTTTAGCCAGCTTGGAGTCTTCGTGACATCGATTACTCTGTGACAAAGGAAGCCACCAATCAACACCGAAATGGTAGACAGGTCTCGAGGGGGATCTTTACTTGACGACGGGATGACGATGAGTACCGCATTCCCGAGCCGTCAAAGTTGCGGTACCACCGTTCGCACGGTATCCTCGATCGCTCGGGACTGAAAACTTGCAACGTCGTCGTTCCGACGACAAAGGGTGGGTTGCTCTGTGCTGCTCTCTAATAGTTATTTATTATCATTACGCACTGCCTTTGACGGTAGTGAGTAGGCGAAGGCCTCGCATTCGCCGGCTGTCGCCGCCGAGATGCTCGTCCTTCGCGAGGGAGGGAATTTCAAGTACTATGACGAATATATTCAATTTAAGAACAAAGTCAGAGAACACCCGGGGGGGGGTATCATGTAAAGTGTCGAGCGTCCGAGGCTCACCGACGAAGACTCCTGCATGCCCCCAGCCGGAACCAATGATGAATGACATAGGAGTAGCCCCATCTTGCCACCAATTATTTCTCCTCTTTTGCTCAGGCGCTCGAGGGCTTTCGCTCGAGGGCTGAATTGAGGCGGGTCGACGGCATGTGTCAAGAGAGCTCTAGAGTCCGATGGCCAGGTCGCTAACCCGACACAGACTGCCCAAACAATCACACATAATCAAAACCCAGCCGAACTAGGTTTTCAATGCAGTGTTTCTTTGATCGAAGACAATGGAAGCAACGAGCGTGTGCAGTCGCCGGGTTGCAATATTATTGGACGCTCCCAGAAATCACACCAACCGTGGGAGGTAGATGAACGGGGACTTGAAAATACCAGCCCCGGATGAGGGTTGGCGAGCAACCCAACTTGAGGGACACGAAAGTTGAGAAACAAATCTTCTAGGGAGCAAGCAAGCGGGTGCTAGATATTCTGACCTTCCCAAGTAAGTAATGCCTTCTAGGGCCATGGGACCGCCAAAAGGGCAATCTGAGCGCCGCAATCTTGTTGACGCGACATTTGCACAGATCTCCCTTCTTTTTTCGGCGGGGCGAAGGGGGAACAGTATACGATATTTGCATTCCAAACTCTCCTCCCTTACATCCTGCCTTTCAGCCCCTGCTCCAGCATGCAGGGAACCTGCGTTAGCTACCCAGTTTTGATATGGCATTGCTAGACCAATTTCTCACGCGGTCTGTGGCGGAGAGAGGCTTCTCTCCATTCCACATGCATGAAAAATCAACTCTATATATAGCTGGCAAACGAATCTCGAACGTGTACATCCATGATACAAAATACGGGGAGAATAATAGATATCAGAATGGCACCATATCACCGATTTTGAACAGCTGCCAAGAAGTATCAGGTCATGAACGACCTGCCCTTCTTATCGTCGCTTTCACCATCGCTCCGCTCCTCATAGTACCGGTGACTTTCGATATCCACCCGAATTCCGTTTCGTGCTTGTCGGTCATCAGGAGCAGCTTCGTCTTCCATCTCGTACGGCACGGTCTTGACGTCCCTGCCGACCATGCTCTCCGAATCGCCGTTGCGGGTCCTGCTGAAGGTCGTGAGTTCGTGGTTGAAGCCCATGTTAGTGACAACGCCGGTGGACTGAGTCGGTGGGGTGTTGCCGGTCTTGCCCGTTGCGGCCACGTTGAGCTGGTTGGCGTTGGAGAGCTTGCGAGCACTGTGGCTGTAGTGAGCCGAGGTGTTGTGGCCGGAGGTGTGGCGAACGCCGCGCTCGCGAAGACCCAAGATCATGCGGCAGGCCTGTAAAGAGGCGCGTTAGCATTTCCTTGCGAGGGAATGATAGATCGGGGGAGGTACGTACGAGGATGTCGGGGAACATGACGGACAGAGGGATCAGAAGGGCCGACATGACTTGCTTTGGCTAGTGAGAGGAGGGCACAACGTTAGTCGGATTCGCGCTTTGATCTGCGGCTCGCGTTTCTCTCACCTGCCAGTAGAAGATGGCGTTGCAAAGGTTTGCGGCAGAGATGAGGAAGAAGTACCAAATTCCTATGCAGCGCATACCGAATGTCAGTCACGATCGGGTGATTCGTGAACCTTGATATGCCTACCTTCAGACACGAAGGTCTTGAGGAGCGGGCTACCCTGACCACCGCTCTGGTTGCGGATTTGCCATGCGCGCCACAGAGTCAAGATCGTCACGAGGGTGTCGAATACCAACGGCGCGACCTGTAGAAAAACGTCGTCGAATGGGTGAGCAGGGCCAAACCATGGGATGGGACTGAAGGAGAACGTACGAAGAAAACTGTAGTCAAGGGCGCGCGTCAGTAATGGCTAGAGAATCCGCAGAGCCGGTTATGGAGACTTACGCATGATGTGTGGGCTGTGGTTGTATCGGACGGTCGGGAAGCATGGTCCTCCAGCGGGATCGAGGAATGGGAGGACTAAAGGGTAAAAGGCGCCATTAGATGCCGCATTCGTGCAGGATAGAACTGGCTCGTGACGTACGGGTCATCTAGGAGAGAAAAGCCAGCGGTCAGCTAAAGTCCCAGCGGTGCACCTTGCTCCAACCATACCTGACTGTTGTCGACGTATAGTTGGTACGCGATGACGCCGAGCAAACCAACGATGAGGGGGATCAAGACCGACTTCTTGTTGCCCAAAAACGCGTAAGTTCTGATCAGAAGAACGGCTGAATGACAAGCGGGACAAGTGAGCAGGCAAATTCTCGATGCGAGGCGCTCGCCTTGTCTCGCGTACCTTCAGACCACACTTGGTTCCACATCTAATGAAAAGCAGGTCGCTCGTCAGACGTCCATTGGGGGGTCTCGCGCGAATGCGAGCAACTTACCGCAAGCGCCACGGGGCTCTTGTAAATCTTCCAACACGTCGCCTCCGAATGGTCTTGGGTGTAGACCCACAGTACATACGGTATGACGGCGATGACCCAGTACCGACATAAGAGGTAGAGGACCTTGATGACGGACCACGGCGACTTCCAGATCTGTGAGGGGGGACACGGGCGAGGAACAAAGGAGGCAAGTGAGCGAAAGGCAAGGAAGCGTTGCGACAAGGGGCACGTACAAGTCGATACTCCCTCTGCAATGACACAAGCCAGTCCCATAAAGTTATGGCATCTGTACGAGGTGGTTTATTCGAGTCAGTCGCCAGCACAACGCCCAAGGATCCCAAATAAATTACGAACAGAATGCACTGCACCAAGACAAGCTCCAGTCAGCTTTTCCCGTTCTCGAAAGAAATGAAAAGCTGGGACACGCACCAAAACATGATCTGCGAGGCCTTGATGTAGTAAGCTGCCTCCTTCAAAACAGCTGCGAGAGCTGCTGCAGCGGCAGGGTCGGATGCCGGGTCTGACATCGTTTCAAGATGAAGGGATTGAATACAAGTTCTGTGGCTTGTTTACGTTTGGTGCGTTTGACTTTTAGCCTACTCGACTTGGCGACCTCTTAATG